TGTATCCTTGTTGGTCTTTTCCAGGCACAGACATCTCAGTGGGAGAAGAAGTTGCGATCAAGTTAGAATGTGTGAAGACGAAACATCCGCAGCTCCACATCGAGAGCAAGATCTACAAGATGATGCAAGGAGGAGGTGACCACAGTCTGTCTGTGTCTTCGTTCTCATGCAGTCTGTCACGGTTTCCTGCAGGACTCGTTTCCTGCAGGACTCGTTTCCTGCAGGACTCGTTTCCTGCAGGACTCGTTTCCTGCTCCCACTCTCTGCTCTCTTTATTCCTCCACGTGTAATGTGATGGACACCTGCCTGTCGTTGCAGTGATCCCATTAGTCACCAAACAAACACAAGGTCATGTTGAATGACCTCAGTGAGCTGTGGACCACCGCTGTGCTGCGGTTTAGCACAGAAGGCTTCTGTGTCCACGCCTCGACTGTTCCGTGGGTTGGATGTAGCAGCCTTAGCTCGGTGCACGGCTCACAGCAGTGATGATCAGAGTTTAACACAAAGTTCGTTTCAGTTCAGGATTATCACTGAGAAAGTCAAATACTGTGAATCTGCGGCATTCCACACTGCTGAGCTCTTCCTTCATGTCCGTGTCAGTGCTGGGAGCATCGGACAGCACCAGCTAGTCCAGCTCTTCCAGGTCTCCCTCTGCAGTCTAAGGACTGTGAGACGGGTCCACAGAAGGACAGGACAGACCTTCATGTGGCTGGTGTAGGTGGTGGATGCACCAACAGCACTCATGGGATGTGATGTAAGCCTGTGAGGTAACATCCTTGATCCAGGTCAGGCCAGTGTCAGGATTGCCTGCAGGCACATGTGGGCTTTGCACACTGCAGAGATGCTGCAGAGTTTCCTTTAGAGCGTGGGAATGACTGCCCAGACAAATACACAAGTAGGCCAGTTTTCATTTTGTCAGCGCCACATTTAAAGGAGGGAGTGAAGTAGGACAGAATCACACTTTGTGACGTGGGTGTGGGCCTCACGAGCCCTGCTGAGTGTGAGTGAAGGTTTCAGTATCAGAGCAGGAGCACTTTGTTACCCCCGAGGACGCGCCCTTCATCACTGTGTGCTTATTCTGAGCAGCACAGGAGGCGGTGACAGTGGAGACGCTGCCAGCAGGAGAAACCATCAGACAGTGACTGCAGACGCATTTGTTTCTGTGTGGTTGCAGTGGGCATCCCAACAATCAAGTGGTGTGGAGCTGAAGGCGACTACAACGTGATGGTGATGGAGCTGCTGGGACCCAGCCTGGAGGATCTCTTCAACTTCTGCTCCCGCAAGTTCAGCCTGAAGACGGTGCTGCTGCTCGCTGACCAGATGGTGA